TGTCTTTTTCCGTGTCCGGCAACGGATCGCAACCCTCAGTGTTGCCCCCGTACCGGACCGGGGACCGGCAACGGGATTGCAACCCTCGGTGTTGCCCCCACGCCTCGCTCAGCCAGTGAGCGGGAACTGGTCTGTATGTGGGATCCGAACCCTCGGGCGGGAGCGCCACCGCGCTTCCCAAGCGGTGCACTTATCCAGAGTTCCACCGGGCCGGCCCCTCAAGGTATTTTTTAATTTGCCTTGTGATTTTTTTCTTTGATCTATTGGTTGTTTGAGAGTGTTTTGTTTAATTTCCAAATATTTGTGCATTTTCCAGTTTTCCTTATTTTATTAATTTCTAGTTCCATTTCATTGTGGTAAGAGAAGATACTCTGTATGACTTCAGTCTCTAAATTTATTGAGATTGGTTTCGTGGCCTAACGTGCTCTCTGCTGGAGAATGTTCCATGTGTTCTTAAGAAGAATGCATTCTGCTTTTATTGGGTGGAATGTTCTATATATGTTCATTAGGTCTAATTGGTTTATAGTGTTCGTCAATGCTTCTATTTCCTTATTAATCTTTTCTCTGGTTGTTCTGTCCATTACTGGAAGTGGAGTATTGAAGTATCCAACCATTACTATGGGACTGTCTACTTCTTCCCTCAATTCTTCATATATTGTTACATATGTTTTGTGGCCCTGTCAATAGGTGTGTATGTGTTTGTAATTGTCATATTTTCTTGATGGACTGAACCTTTTATCATGAAATGTCTTTCTTTGTCTGTTGTCCTTCTGTGTCTTTTATTTAAAGTCTATTTTTATGATATTAGTACGGTAGCCCCACGTTATCTGTGATTTTGCTTTCCACAGTTTGTTACCTGTGGTGTAGTACAATAAAATGTTGCGAGACCATATTCACATAACTTTTACTACATTATGTTGTTATAATTGCTATATTTTAGTATTAGTTATAGCTAATCTCTTACTATGCATAACTTATAAATTAAACTTTATAATAGTTATGTGTACATATAGGAAAAAACATAATATATATAGGGTTCAGTACTGTTCGGACTTTCAAGCATCCATTGGGGGTCTTGGAACATATCCTCCTTGGATAAGGGGGGTGTATTAGTCCGTTTCTGTTGCTTATAATGAAATACACAGAACTGGTGTTTTTTAAAGAAAACGAAATTTATTACTTACAATTTCTGAGGCTGTGAAGTCCAAAGTCCAGAGAACACAGCTAGTGAAAGTCTTGATGGGTAACAGTGATGGCAGGGTATTACATTGCGAAAATGGCAGAGCAGAGAGAGGGAACTAACCTCCTCATTCACGCTTCTTTTAAAGCCCTCCAAACCATGACCACCATTTTTAATCCATTCTCTATAGTATGGTCCAATAATCTAATCACCTCTCAAGGCCCCCCTTTCAGTTACCATGATAGGATTTTCTGCCTTCTTGATACTGTCACAGTGGGGGTCAAGTTTCAGGGGGACACTAAATCCAAGGCAGGGGGACTGGTGTATAGCAAAAACAGCTCTCTTTTGGTTACGATTTGCATTGACTATTTTTTTCTATCCTTTCACTTTCTATGTATGTGTTTGGATCTAAAGTAAGTCTTGTAGGTAACATATAGATGGATCATTTAAAAAGATCCATGATGCCAGTCTCCACCTTTGTAATTGGAGACTTTAATCCACTTACTACTGATAAGGAAGGATTTTTACCATTTTACTATTTGTTTTCTGTATATGTCTTTTATCTTTTTTTCCCCTCAGTTCTTCCATTACTGTCTTCTTTTGTGTTTAATCAATTTTTTTTTCCTTTTTGTCTTTTTTCATGACTGGCAACGGATCGCAACCCTCAGTGTCGCGCCCGTACCGGCCCGGGACTGGCAACGGGATCGCAACCCTCGGTGTTGCTCCCTGCACCTCGCTCAGCCAGTGAGCGGCCGGTCTGTATGTGGGATCCGAACCCTCGGCGGGAGCGCCACCGCACTTCCCAAGCGGCGCACTGTAGCAGTGCGCCACCGGGCCGGCCCGTGTTTAATCAATTTTTGTAGCATACCCTTTGATTCCTTTTGCATTTCCTTATCTATATTTTTAAATTTTACTCTTAGTGGTTACTTTGGAGTAAAATTAATATCTTAAACTTATAACAACGTAGTTCTAATTAATACTAAGCTGAACTTCAGTAAAATACAAAATCTGCTTTTGTATGTCCCTACCTCTTCATGTTGTTATCATTAATTACATATTGATACATTGTGTGCCTACTAACATTAATTTGTAATTATTGCTTTATGCATTTGTCTTTTAAATCATAAAGGAATAAAAGAGGAGTTACAAACAAAAAATACAAGATACTGGCTTTTTTAGCTACCTCTGTAGTTACTTTTTACCAGTGTTCTCTCTATTTTTCTTTATATGGTTTCAAGTTATGGGTAGTATTCCCTTTAGCATTTTATGTAGGGCCTATCTACTCATAACAAACTCTCTCTGCTTTTCTTTATCTGGGAATGTTTTAATTTCTCCTTCATTCTTGAAGGATAGTTTTACCCAATATAGAATTCTCCGTTGACAGGATTTTTTGTTTTGTTTTGTTTTTTCCAGCACTTTTAAATGCTGAAATTGTGCGTTTAAAAGTCACCTCACTGCCTTCTGGTCTCTAAGGTCTCTGATGAGAAATTGATTATTTATCTTATGAGGATCCCTTGTATGTGATGAGTTACTTCTCTCTTTGTACTTGCAAGAGTCTCTCCTTGTTTTTGTCTTTTAATAGTTTGATTAGTATGTCTGGTGTGGATCTCTTTGAATTTATCCTGTGGAGTTCCTTGAACAACTTGGATGTGTAGATTAATATCTTTTTTTTTATTTTTGTCCTTTTGACACTGGCCGCACTGCGCTCAGCCAGTGAGCGCACCGGCAGCCATCCCTATATAGGATCCGAACCCGCAGCCTTGGATGTGTAGATTAATATCTTTTTTTTTATTTTTGTCCTTTTGACACTGGCCGCACTGCTCTCAGCCAGTGAGCGCACCGGCAGCCATCCCTATATAGGATCCGAACCCGCAGTGGGAGCACTGCTGTGCTCCCAGTGCCGCACTCTCCCGAGTGCGCCACGGGCTCGGCCCAGATTAATATCTTTTTTTTTATTTTTGTCCTTTTGACACTGGCCGCACTGCTCTCAGCCAGTGAGCGCACCGGCAGCCATCCCTATATAGGATCCGAACCCGCAGCGGGAGCACTGCTGTGCTCCCAGTGCCGCACTCTCCCGAGTGCGCCACGGGCTCGGCCCAGATTAATATCTTTTAATCATATTTGTTGAGTTTTTAATTATTTATTCAAATAGTCTTTCTGCCTCTTTCTCCTCTCCATCTAAGACTTCCATAATGCATCTATTAATATGTTTGATTATGTCCCACAAGTTTCTCAGCCTCTATTAATTTATTATTTTTTGTCATTATTTTTTCTTTTTTGGCAGCTAGCCACTACAGGGATCTGAACCCTTTACCTTGGTGTTACCAGCAACATGCTCTCCCAAGTGAGCTAACCAACCAGCTCTGTCATTATTTTTTCCTTTAGTTGACTTATCTTTTAAGTTCACTGATTCTTCTGCCTGCTTGAATCTGCTGTTGAAACTCCCTAGTGAATTTTTTACTAAGAAAATGAAAAGTTATTAAAGTTATTGTACTTTACAGCTCTAGAATTTTCATTTGATTCTTTTTTATAATTTCTCTCTTATTTATTAATATTCTATATTTGTTGACACATTATTCTTCTGGTTTCCTTTAGTTCTTTGTCTGTAGTTTCCTTTAGCTTTCTGAGAATATTTAATACAGTTGATTAATTTGTCCATAATCTTGAAACCATCTTCATCTACAGTGTATCTTTCAGGATTTCCTAAAAGTTTCTGAACTACCACTGGCAGTCTTTAATGGTTTTTAGGTGTTATGAAATTTTCCTTTTGTTAAACATAAATTCTTTCCACTATTTTAGTGAGATTTTAGGAGGGAAGTAAGATAGTGCACCATTTGGATCCGTCTGTGAATGAGTGTGATGTGGACATGAAAGCTGCTCTGTGGCGGATGGGGAGGGCTGTACAAAGGCACATGAATGCAGTGCTGACTGCCATCATGCTCCTCACCAGCTGTGATTTCTTCTTCTCTTACATGAATTTGTTATGCTTCTTTTCTAAGCCCTTTCTTTGAAAATACTGCCTGTACCTGTACAGGTCCTCCATGACATGGATTTATCTTTTTCTTCCCAGTGCTGTATTAAATGAGAATAATGTGCCCTTTTCCAAACATTCTCTTACTCTGATGCATACTACACCTGCAGACAGTGGTTCTGTTCTAAAGGTAAGAATATTTTTATTCTTAAAGTTTCTCCAGAGACAACATTGTATTGAATCTTGTAATATAACCAGGGACATCTGGTGATTTGCGATTGACAGCTTGGTCTTAAGCTGTGAGAAAAGTATTGAGCCTCAATTCTCTAGGGAGAATCCTGTCGCCATATCCCTCACAAAAGTATCTCAGGATTTCTCCTCCAGCTTTTGTGTTGTTTGCTAGTATTTTTGTTTTTTGGGTGGTCTTAGATGCTGGCTATGCTTCCACTCATTTTTCCTTTTAAGGAAATACAATTTTTTCATGCAAATAGGCACTTTTTAAGTGATTATTAGATGAAAGAGTTAGGGCTATATCTCTAATGCAGAGGTGATTTTGCTGAAATTCATAGTCTGATTTACTCTAGAGAATATAAGTTGTGTGAGTGACAGTCTTGTTCATTGTTGTTCACTAGTGTCTCAAACAGTACATGGTACAGTAATAGGCACTAAATAAATGTTTGAAATGACAGTGAAATTTTTGAAATAACAGGGACCTATCATTGATTTTGTTGCGACATAACCAGTCATCCCAACTTCTGCTTTTCCTATATCCACTGGCCATATATCCACTTTCCAATTCAGAAATCATAGAAACCTGGTTCTGTTACCCATGAATGTTTTAATTTGCAAGTTAAATTAAAAATTGTCCTTGCAAATGAACACTTACATTTTTTTTTATTTCATAATGTCCATTTATTGTAGAAATTTACCAAATATTCCACGAAAAGGAAAAATTAGAAATCACCTGTATTCTCACCACCCAAAGACAGTAGTACTAATATTTAGGTATATAATCTTTCAGATTTGGGGGCTTAAAGAAAAAACTCAACCTAAATTACCTTCAATTAGAGGTTCTGTTTCTGCTAATTAAAATTCTAAAAAGATACGTTGAAATCTTTGACTATTCATTGAGAAATGAAAATTAAGTAGAACCTGAGATGTTTTAAGAACAGAGAAGGCTATTTAGTTCAAAGATATATTGCATATGTAAAATGTACCAGACAGCATGCTAGGCATTAAAGATTCAAAAATGAATGAAACGTGGTGTCTGCTTTCAAACTGCTTATCATCCAGTGGGAGAGAGAATTATAATACATTGTGTTACAGACATGTACAAGCTGTTATGGTGCACTTAAGTCAGGCAGTGGGGTGGGAAGAGGGAGATGTGAGAGAAGAAAGAACAATTTTTTCAGGTATGTGATTAAAATTAAGTTGTATGTTGAAATACGAATAGGAGATTCACCAAGGCCTGAAGGCAAATAGATAGAAATGTACAAGTTAAGGGCCTTTTTTGTTATGTATTATGCCCTAGGTTCCTATTTCTCTTATTGATAGATTATAATTTTATCTTTTTAAATTTTCTCTACCCCCCCCCCCACTGCAGTATAGAATCGTGACGTCAATAATGTGCTTCAAATATTAATTAAACAAAAAGTGTTAATTAACATGTATGGAGGGAGAGTTCATATTGTATTCTTTTACAAACAGTGAAGCACACATACATCTAAATAAAGAAGCATTTGGAATCCAGGTGTCTCTTTTATTCACTGTCTCCTGTGCTGAATCTTTTACCATTCTCATCTAGTCTTAAAAGTTAAGAGCCAGAACAGTCTTAACCTTACCCAAGTTTTGTCTCTCCAAAAGGAATAGCTGTATAAAATTTACATAACATTTTAGCTTTTTCAAGTTCCAATTATAGTCTAGGTTTCTCTCCATTTAGAAGTAGAATCAGTAATAACCGTGATTCCTCAGTGTCCCTGTTTAAAGGATTAACACTAACCAGGCCTAGGTCAAAATTCTAAATTGAGAGGATATGGAAGAAACTTAGTCTGATGATTCAGTCATTTAACAATTCTAGATGCCTTGTCTTCCATAGGATACCACAGAGGAACTGGATGCCTTGCTCTTGTCACTCACAGAGCATCTGATGGACCACACAGTCACACCTCAGGTGAATGTGCTTTAAAACAGCAAGTGGGAAAGGAATTTCTGTTTTGAAAAATGTTCCTACTAGATTCCAATTTTTGCCTTTTTAACAATTTAGTAAAACTTTTCATTTAATAAGACTTTATACTTCAGTAACCTCTCAGCATTGCCTTTCTGTTCTAAAATTCTGCCCATTTGAATTTGTGTATCACCGTATAGAAATTACATGTCACTATAAGCCTATTTATAATTCAACACCACATTAAATAACATGAGAGAGAATGTGGGCTAAACCAGCTTGTTAAGAGTTAAGATAATAAGGACATATTTAATTCTTTTTTTTTTTTTTTTTTCTTTTTCTTTCATGAGACCGGCCACACTGTGCTCAGCCATTGAGTGCCCCGGCCATCCCTATATAGGATCCGAACCCACAGCGGGAGCGCTGCTGCGCTCCCAGCACCACACTCTCCCGAGTGCGCCAAGGGCTCGGCCAGGACATATTTAATTCTAAAAAAAATTTTACAGAAGGGTGGGAACATAAGAGTGATTGGCATTGAACATATCAATCATTATTATATGATCATATTTTATAACAGAAGATATTGTGTTAAGTACTGTGACTGTAATACAAATAAGAAGCAGTTTCTTCCCTCCAGGGACTTAGCATTTAGTAGGGGTGAAAGATACACAAATAACTAATTTCGTGCCTCATGAGTGATGTAAGAATTACTGTAGGAACTGTACGGTATTCTGAAGGCTCAGAAGTCCAGATGGTCCGTTCTAGGTGCTGGATGTTTGCTTAGATCTTTAACTGTCAAATTTGGGTGTGTATCAGAATCACCTAGAGGGCATATTGAAACACAGATTGCTGGGACCCACCTCAGAGTTTCAAATTTGGTATGTCTTGGGTGGGGCCTGCAAAGTTGTATTTCTGACATGTTCCCAGGTTATGCAGATGTGGTCTGGGAACCCACCCTATGGGAACTACCAGCTTAGATCAATAAACAAAAAGACTTTACCAAAGGGTAAGAATTAATTACAAGTCTGGAAAAGTCTGTCAAACCATTTTATGTTTACTGTTTACCATATTTCTCTCTTTTTATTTCCTATTATTAAAGTGCATTTTCTTAATATTGGTAGGAAAGTCATACTTTGTATTTTTATTCTTTTGGTAGTTATCTAATTTATTAAGACCTGGACTTATAGTAATTTTTTTCTCATCGGTATCTAAGGCCACCAACGCAAGGACTAGTCTAAATTTCCATAAAATAGAGAAGTTTCATTTGATTATAATTCTACACATAGAAGGAAGATCTAGAAAACTAAACATTAAAAAAAAGTAACAAAGGCCCTATGAATCAGGAACAATATATTCAAATACTTCATGCATGTGTGAGAATGACCTTTGTATAAACAGGTTTTGTGTGTGTGTGTGTGTACATTCGTTGTGCTATTCATTTAGATCAGTCGAAAGTCATTGTTCAGGATGCTGCCAGTAAGGCTGTGATTATTTGTAATTAACTGACATTTCAGAAAATAAACTGTTACGCTGAATACTCGGTGTAGCATAAGGGGAAGTCCTAGTAAATGAACTGAAAGTGGTGGTACCATGCTTGAGTAGTAAATGTTTAGATTAAAGAGATTCTCAAAATTATGACAGTTTTCCAAGTAATGAAGTATAGCATTTGTGTTGAAGAAAAAGGTCTTGGATACAGAAGTCCATGTCAGCTCAAGGAGGCCCATTAAGAATTGCCTCTCTCTCTACAATGTATTTCATAATAATAGACGAAGGTATGACTATATATGAAAATAAGTCAGTCTTCCCTAAAAGTAAATACAAATATAAAATTTATTTTAGGTGTCTTCAGCAACCATGATCACACCCCGATGGATTGTTCCAGTAAGTTCATGATATATGTGATTTTTCTTCTGGTTACCCTTTCAGAGTAAGTCCTAAAGGATCACCAGGTTTTTGTTATTCCTTAAAATATGGGGGTCATTATCAAAGCTCTGTTTTTCCTTACACGTATGAGAGTCATTATCAGAGCTCTGTTCACTGAACTTAATGGCTTCAAACTACTGGCATAGTCTTTCTGTTTATAAATGCTTAGGGATGCTGACAAAAACAAAAATAAAAATCTGAGGTGAAGGATGGTTAAAAGAAAAAATCAACCATGGTAATAAAAATTAGCTTTCTTACTGCCATAGCCATTAGTGAAGCTGATTTGGAGCTGAAGTGCTGACCAAGTAGGTATTGTCACTTCTGTATTCAGATGTGTTGTATATCTTCCACAGCAGAGTGGTGCCATTTCTAATGGACTTGCAGGGTATGGAACATTTTCGGCAGGGAAGGAAGGACATGGTAATAAGGATGGAGTCTCACTGATCTCTCCCCCAGCACCATTCTTGGTAGATGCTGTGATCAGGTGAGGAAATTATTTCTTAACTGCAGTTCTTAGGCATCTGTTAGGAGGAAAAAAATAAAACCTATATCTATAGTAGCAATTGTTGACCTTTCTTCACTTGAACTTGATTGAAACAGGATAAATCTTTTCACTGTTTAATGTTTAATGTAGTGTTGTTTTTTTCTTGTCAGTAGCAATTTTCTACAAAGTTATAAAATGACAATACTGGGTGTCTTTATGAAGATTTTGCTGTATAAAGATGTTAATAGGCTTATCTTTAAAATTTTATATTTATTTTAAAATCAGTTTGTATCTTTTCCTTTCATGCTTTATTACTATGATCATGCCTACTGTAACAGTGATGAACACTGGTGCCCATCAATACAGGTGAAGAAGTGTAGTACAAAGGTGAGGTAGGAGATTCCCAGGGACGTTCCCGAGATAGCTTTTACTGAAACCTGTTGTTAGTTCATTTCAACATATTGTTTGCCACAAACAGAAACTGGGCTCAAAAGAGCTTTTGTTCAGCCTGTAGTTTCTCGACTTTTGATTGCTAGGACCATAATTGCTCCAGTTTTGCAAAAGATTTATAATTGCCTTCACTCTCTCCTCAGGCCTTTTTTCTGATTATGTGAGGGTACTTCAGAAAGTACATGGAAGATTTGTATTATCTTTTAGTTCTATTTTTTCCACAAACTTTGCGTACCCTTTTGTTTGCCATTTCTCACATCCTCCTGATGTTGAGAATGTGGGTCAATTGAAGTACAGTGGATGCTTTCCTAATTAGAGAGAGAGAGGGAAAATTATTAGGGATCATTAACTTGAAAGAAATTTATAGTTTTATTTTAAAATTGTTCTCTAATCTCCACAGTGTTTAAAATAATGTTATTATTCACTCAGCAAACACTTATTGAATGTCTCTAATGTACCAGGCATTGATATTATTTGGCACTGAAGATAGCAGTGAATAAGACAGATGAGGGACCTGCCTTTGGGAAGCTTACATCTAGTCAAATAGCAGTTTATACAAATCATATGAGTTATTTCTGTAAGCATGTATTTGCTTAGTGATTGCCGCTTTAAAAATAGAGATTGCCTGCAGAGGATCAGGTGGTAATGATTTGTAATTGAATTTATACAATAAAATGTGAGTTCTTAAGGACTTCCAAATTAAAAATGACAGGTGAGAGAAGAGCTTATATCTTCATTCCTTCCCCAAACTCATGCAAAGTCATAATAAAGGATTTAAAAAGATCAACAATGACAAGTAAATAGGAAGAACAGAACAGAGACCAGAAACAAACCCACACATATAGTTACCTGATATATGGAAAAAGCAGTGATACAATGCTGTGAGGAAAGAATGGTTTTTCAGTAAATTAACTGGACAATCTAGTTGCCCATATAGAAAAAAATTAGTCTTGACCCAACCTCATATTATCCACAAAAATTCATTCTGGGTGGATTGCAGATCTAAATAATAAAGCTTTTAGAAGAAACTATAAGTGTACATCCTTTTGCCCCCAGAATAGGCAAAGATTTTTTAAATAGCTCACAAGAAGCTTTAATCATACACGAAAAAATTGATAACTTGGATTATATCAAGAAATTCCATTCATCAAGAGATATAATTTCTAGAGCATGGACGGGGAAGCCACAGAGTGGGAGAAAACATTTGTGCTTCTTCTTTCTCTCCCTCTCTTGCCATCCAGCCTCTGTATGACAAAGGACTCATATGAGGAATATATAAAGATCTCTTCCAAATCAATGAGATAAAGATAGCTCAATAGAAAAAAGGGCAAAAGACTTGAATAGGCATTCACAAGAAGATATCCAAATGGCCAGTAAGCATACAGATGGTGTACAACTTGACCAGCCATTGAGGAATGACTACATGATACCACACTACACACCACCAGAATAGGTGAAATGAAAAAGACACATAGTACCAGGTGTTGGTGACAATACGGGGCAACTGGAACTCCGTAAATTGGAATAACAACATTGGAAACAGATTTGGTAGTATTTACTAAAGCTGAGCATATCCAGTGATTCAGTGATTCTATTCTTAGGTACATATGCAGTGGAAATATGTATACATGTCCATCAAAAGACATGTACCAGAATGTTTACAGTAGCTATATTCATAGTAGTGTAAACTGAAAACCTTCCAAATGCCCAATTGCAGTCAACTAGGTTAAATATTAGAATACAGCAGAGAATTAATGAACTACACCTGCAGTATAGCAACATAGATGAATCACATAAACATAGTTGTATTATCTATTTCTGTGTAACAAAGTACCATAAATTTAGCAGCTTAAAACAGCATACATTTATAATCTCATTTTCTGTGGGTCAGAGGTCTGGATATGGCTGAGCTGGGTCCTTTGCTTCAGGATTTCTTACAGGCTGCAATCAGGTGTTGGCCAGGGTCAGGTTCTCATCTGAATGCTCAATCAGAGAAGTTCCCAGTGGTGGCTGGGTCCTGAGGAGTTGTTAGACCAAGGGCCTCAGTTCCTAGCTGGCTGTTAGCAAGAGGCTACCCTTAGTCCTTGCCATGTGGGCCTCTCACTGTGATTGCTTACTGCATCCAAGCGTGCAAACTGAGAAGGCAAGTAGAGAGTCTGCTAGCAAGTCAGAGGTCTCAGTCTCGTATAGTCTAATCACAGAAGTGACATGCTCTTACATCTGCTGTATTCTATTGGTTAAAGCAAGTCACAGGTCCTGCCCAAACTCAAGGGGAGGGGATTACGTAAGAGTGGGAACACCAAGAAGTGGGGATCATTGGGGTTCACCTTAGAGTCTCCCATCCATAATAAGGGTAAGCAAAATCAAGCTCAAACAGAAGCACAACTCTATAAAGTTTACCCCTAAAGTGGTTAGTGACTGGATGGGAGCCCAAAAGAGTCTTTTGGAGTGTTGCTAATGTTCTGTTTCATGTTCTGCATGCTGATTACAAAGGTGTGTTCAGTTTGCAAAAAGTCAACAGAACTGTAAACTTGGGCCGGCCCGGTGGCGCACTGGATAGTGCGCCGCTTGGGAAGCGCGGTGGCGCTCCCGCCCGAGGGTTCGGATCCCACATACAGACTGGTTCCCGCTCACTGGCTGAGCGAGGTGCGGGAGCAGCACCGAGGGTTGCGATCCCGTTGCCGGTCCCCGGTCCGGTACGGGGGCAACACTGAGGGTTGCAATCCGTTGCCGGACACGGAAAAAGACAAAAAGACAAAAAAAAAAAAAAGAACTGTAAACTCATGGTTTGTGCACTTTAATATATGTATGTTATACTTTTTTAAATGATGATTGAGTCCTATCTCCACTGATTTAGATTTACATTGGAAAGCTTTCTGTGTGATATTTTATTTCAAATGCTTATAATCACAAGGACAAAGAAAGGAGAGGAGACAACAGCAATTGAGAGACCTCAACAAGTTTTGGAAATAGCTAAATGATAAGTGGTAACAAATTTAGCAGAGTGGAGTAAACTAAAAACTAAGCCTGAATAGGGGAGGAAGTAGAAACAGAAAATAAAAAGCAAGTAGTTCACTTTGCAAAACCTTGAAAAGGCTCAGGAATTAGAGTTACCAGATATCTGTGAAAATAGGGCTACAAGACGGGGTTGAGAATGTGAGGATTGGTTGAAAATATTTATGCCCATTTAGACAATCCGTAATCTCCCCACTCCTGCTCGAGTTGGTATAATTCTGAAGTTTTCTCTCTGGAGGAGCTGGGCTTGAGAGTCTCTGGATTTGGGAGTTTCCATTTGGAATAAGGCTCTAAACTGAAAACAGGGAGGTTAAGTCAAAGTCCACACACTGAAGGGTGAAATTTCCAACCTTCCTTCTTTTCTCGCCTGAATGCTGTTGGCCAAGTGTAAATGTCTCAGTGAGAAAGTAAGAGGTTTATTCTCTGGAGAAACTAACCAACCAAAGACCTGCACATACTAACATTTGTTGATCCCTTGATGACATTTTAAGAATCTGCCTAATAGCCACCCAGGAAACCATTAGTTGATGAGTTTTGTCTATGCATATGCAGCTTCCAAACAACATTCCAGTGCTTCCCTCTTAAATATAGAAAGAGCTGGAGATGATCAGATGTGTGAGGAGAGACCAAAACAGGTAAACTGAAAAAAAAAACAAAAAACGAGGAAATAAAGGCAATGTGAATAGCAAAAGAAAACCTCACAAAATGATAGTATCTAAACTTATAGAGAAGATGCTGCATCCATGCAACAACAGGAAATTAAAAAACAAAACAAAACAAAAAACCCCAGAAAATCAGAATGTGTTTTTAGAAATTATTAACCATGTTAAAAATAAAATCCAAAGAATGTGTAGAAGATAAGATTGAGGCAGTCTTCCAAAAAGTAGAACAAAAAGATGAAAACTGGGAGAGAAAAGATGAGAAAATTGGAGGGTTGGTCTAGGAAGTCCAATATATGAATCATAGGAAATCCAGAAAGAAGTGTCAGTAGAAGTGAGGAAATTATCAAAGGGAGGAATCAAGAGTTCCTGGAACAGAAGGACTTGAATTTCTACATTAAAGGGGCCTTTTGAGTACCCAGCACTCAAGGAAAACAGACCACACTGAAGAACATCATGAAACTTCAGAAGATCAAAGTTGAGAGGATATATGACTTCAGAGAGGGGAGACTATATACAAAGGACTTGTGATCAGAATGGTAGCAGACTTTATTGAAATCTTGAAGATAATGGAGTAATGCCTTCAGAAAGAATTATGGAGGGAAATAGTTTTTCACCTAGAATATTTTATCCAGAAAAACTATCAGTGAAGTGTGAGATTAAAATAAAGACATTTTAGACATACAGTTTCTCTAAAATGTATAATTTCCATGTAGTCTCTTTCAAGAAGTTACTGAAAGATGTATTTTATCAAAATAAGATGATTATCCCAAAAAGAGGAAGACACAGGACCCAGGAAACAGAAGAGAGGTGCAAGGATTTATCTGGAGGAAGGCAGAGGGAAATTCCACGATGGCAGCTGCCTAGCAGGTGTAGGAAGGATCCTGTCCAGATTCAAAAAGGAGGATTTAGAGTTCCAGGAAGGATTTTGCCAAGAATAAACTAACATATGCCTTTCCCCCTGCCCCCTACAGTTCTACCTGAGAAATTAGGGATAAATTAGAGATTAGTAGAAAACTTAGTAAACACTTACTACAAAAAATGAGGCAGTTATTCAGTCCAAGGAAAATAAAAAATTATATAAAAAAGGAAATATAATACACTGATAGTTGTGGAAATATTTGCATAATTACAACAAACACTGAAAATTAACATGATCAAAATTGGTCATCTAGTTGTGCTGAAAAGGTAAGACAGGGATAGTGGGGCTGGTGAAGGGAGTGTAAGAAAGTTAAGCCTCCATAGTCCATTGTAGAAAGTCAGTATACACTCAGAACAGTTATTAGAACTTCTGCTCATTGTGAGGCAAACTCTCTGGAGGAGGCTTATTAATATACAGGCTGCTGGGTCCCCTCCTCAGAGTCTGATTCCCTATGTCTGAAGTGGGTCCTAAGAATTTGCATTTCTAACAAATTCTAGGGACCACACTTTGAGAACCAGGGATACAGAAAAGAGAAGGAAAATAGCAGAAAAAACCAGTTGAAAGTGTTTGTCTCTGTGCAGTGGGAATGGGGAGTGGTGGTACAGGTGACTGCTGTTTCATTTATAAATCTTTTTAGAGCTTTCAACGTTTTAAATTACATTCTTTGTACTATGCACTTTTATGTTGTTTTAAGTTTTTATGAAACCAAATTAAATGTCATTGCATCCTTGCATCTAAGCTTATGCTGTTCACCTACAGCAGATACTTGTGGGCCTTCATGCAGAGCCCATGTCCTAACCACTCTAACCAAGTGGATTAACTGGTATAGGAACCCAGACACTACATAAAGAAGCACAGAACAGCCCACTTCCTTTGGTATCTCCTGAGCATGTTTCTATCTCCTGAGCATATTGCTGTCATGCTCAGCACAGCACTATTCTTGATAATTGTAATAACCCTGACTCATAAAGAAGTGGTTAAATGTATGTTTTGCATATTTTACATATTCATTTAGGTCTGTAATCTACTCTGTTCTCAACATGCTCCACATGGCACTGGAGGAGACGTGAATGCTCCCCGCTCCCCCACCACCCCAAATGGTTTCATTGATTAAACTATTCTCTCTCTTTCAGCTCTGCTCCAACTTTGGTTGAAGAAGAAACCATCTTAAAGCAGAAGTGTTTGCTGACAACTGAACTCTAAGGGACTGCCCATCCCCACCTGTAACTGGAATGCCTAGCACTCTTCAGCAGTCCGTCCTGGAGTCTATTCCAGCTGGAATGTGTTGGATTCAGGAACTTGTCCTTTACTTGTAGGTAAAAAACCTCTACCTAGCTTGACTTCAACTCCATGAAAAAATAGCTACATTTTCCGTCCAACTGGAAGGGTTTAATCACACCGCATATCTACCCAAATGAAGATATCTGGGTCTTTTACTTTCTGTAATTTTGTTAAAGTTACAAATTACTGAAATAAGGGAATTACTTTCCCTGTAGTTTCCTTCAAACACTTGGCTCCACCTAGTGGTTGTAATTTTTCATATTTATAACAAGACCCCCTCTGGTAGTCAGCAGACCTTTGGATGCTATTTCCCTCTCTAGTGTCAGGGCGAGCACCCTTGATCTGAATGCCTGTTAGAGAAATTGTACTTTTTCATGCATTACCTGGAAATCAGGAACTTAGGAAGTTAATCTGGGTACTGTGTAGGTGGATTCAGAGCCAGCTGCTTTACATTTACTAAAATACTAAATAAAAGTTTAGAATACGGAGGGCTTTTAAATGTTTCTCATACTTCTGATTTCTTACTGGATTTACTATCCTAATACTGCAAATTTACAGCAAAGTAAGATAAACCTTGAGAAGAACTACAGAGAAATCAATTGCCCGTGATGTTTGCTTTAGCCCTGCCTTCCCACAGAAAGCACGTACATGTACCACACATGTATTGTATAACTTTCAGCCTGAAAAGGGGGTGGGTTACTGTTCAAGAGACCCTGGGGCACTTATCTCAGGTATCCGCACTCCGTGATGTTTGCTTTAGCCCTGCCTTCCCACAGAAAGCACGTACATGTACCACACATGTATAACTTTCAGCCTGAAAAGGGGGTGGGTTACTGTTCAAGAGACCCTGGGGCACTTATCTCAGGTATCCGCACTTCTTCCTGAGCCAGGTAGGGAATTCAGGCCCTTGTAGAGTCAGGTGATAAAGGCATAGCCCAGCAGTACTCCACATCAGTACCTATTTGGGCATACGCTCCGTTTCTTCTCAGTATAAGCTGAATAAATTTAGAGCTTTCAAACTGGAAAAAAAAAAATGAAACAAAACAAAAACACCAGGACAGAAATAGGGAATGGGGGCAGGGTAAAGGGATTTTGTTTCTTGATACCTGCCATGTATGAAACTATACACAGCATACTGAAAGAATTCACATTACATTAGAAATTTTTTTTTTTCTTTTTTCTTTTTTTTTTTTTTCCGTGTCCAGCAACGGATCGCAACCCCCAGTGTTGCCCCCGTACCAGACCGGGGACCGGCAACGGGATCGCAACCCTCGGCGTTGCCCCCGCGCCTCGCTCAGCCAGTGAGCGGGAACCGGTCTGTATGTGGGATCCGAACCCTCGGGCGGGAGCGCCGCTGCGCTTCCCAAGCGGCGCACTTATCCAGTGCGCCACCGGGCTGGCCCCTACATTAGAAATTTTGTATTAAGTTTAGAAGTTTTCTAGGGCCGGCCCAGTGGCGCACTCCTAGAGTGCGGCGCTCCCGCCGAGGGTTCGGATCCCACGTAGAGACCTGTCCGCTCACTGGTTGAGCGCGGTGCGGGCGCGACACCGAGGGTTGCGATCCCGTTACTGGTCACAACACCGAGGGTTGCGATCCCGTTACCGGTCACGACAAAAGACAAAAAGGAAAACAAAAAAGAAGTTTTCTAGAATCTCCCCATCCCTTTCGGCCTGAAAAAATTGGGATGTTAAAGTAGTACATGCTCATCATAGAAAAATAGAGAAAAGTATAAAAATGTCCATCTGTATTCTCAACACCCAGAAGTAAAACTTGAGCATAAATAATTTCAACCTCAATTGTTGTGGGCAGTGAGAATGATCTGGAAATCATGTTGGTAAAGTCATTGTTAATCCCATGTTATCAAGGACTAATGTTAAGCTATACCTCCTGGAATTTGTTTTTTAGTTTTCTTCCCTGTGATGTGTGTATAATTGAGGATTAATTTGTACTGCTCAGCATAAAAGAATATCCAGTTTTATGGTGTTTTAAAACTCCATGGTTGGGACTATCCCGAGTTCCCTGTGGCATAATTATTTGCTCAGGCAAACACATACTAGTGTCTGACTGGAAAGCTCAGGAATTTTAATCTTGCACTGTTTCCCAGGGAGCTATAGAGGTTGGAAACCACTTTGCAGAAAACATTTTTGCTGAAGGAAAGAAAGTTGGCACTTCTTGCTGGCTGCCTCCCCTTGGACATTATGCTAATAAGCTTGTGAATTTCATTGGTGGAGCTCTTGCCAGCTCTTAGTTGTAAAACACATTTTCTCACAGCTCTAAGTGACACCTAGATTCAAGAGCCTGACCTAGGACATGTTGGACTGGGCATCAAATTTTCAGTGTCTTGACAGGTCTAGATGTCTTGCAAGGTTAAACTTGTGCTGCTAAACACAGAGCAGCCATGGCATTATGGCTTGGAAGGCCTAAATTTCCCATTCAGTTTAGGAGATAGCACCATCTTTATTTTAAACTTCCTAAAATTTAGGAATTAAGTAATTGGAAATATTTTATAACTTTTGTGTCTTTGGGTACCAGTGTTCTTGCCAGTCAGAATATTGATATGGACTTTGTTAAAATTGAATCTCAAGCTAAAAGGAAATTTTGTCTCATGTCCTGACCTGAAGTGGTGGTAAGCATGGAAATTAATACTGGAATGCTGAATAGCCCTGACAGATTAGATACCTGTCAAATATAAGTTTTCTGTCATATCTTCTGCTGGTGCCATGCCCAGAGCTGCTGTAACAGTTCGTCCCATTCTGTTCCCCTGAAAAGTGGGGGTAGGGGGCAGAACTGAGGAGGTGTGTGAATGTGGCAGGCAGGGAAGGGGAGAATTCTTTCTGTGAGAAGAGGGAAGCGTGAACCAGTGAAAGAGCTGGCAAAGGGAGGCTGGAGATGATACTGGGTAAGAAGGTAGGCTGATGACACTGGAGCTGAAGTGGGAGGAGGAGCAGCGAGGTGCTCTGCAGGCTTTCCTGATGGTTTGCAGTGTGTGCTGTGCTGGGAGCGGTGCTGCCTGCCCTAGGGGAGTGGACAGGAGAGGAACCTCAAATCAGTCCATTTTATAGCCCTGGTGGGGGGAAAGGGGAGTTGGCATGGTGGTTTAAAATAAGATGCGAAGGTTTCAGTTATCTGTCCTAGACTCTGCCTCGGAACTTGTAAAATAATCAGTGAGATTTTATTTCTGATTATTTGTCGGAAGCATCACGTTAGTCCACACAGGAGGGGCTCATGGTTATTCCATTTCTGCTCTTCAGGAGACACTGCTGAATAGAGGAATGGTTAGATTCCTTTTGTGCTTATTTCCTTAATGTTTTTACATTGTTTTAGGAAAAATCCTTTTTAAAAATATTTCTTATAAGGATTTCTCTTTATCAGAGGGTTTGTTTGGTTTTTTTGTAGCACATATATTCATTCTTTTTATCTTTATATCTGGATACAATAGACTATTATGAGAACCTCACTAACTATTTTGTGTTTACTTTTTATATGTGTAAAGCTTTGCAGTAGTTTTTAAAGTGTAATTTATTTTTCTATTGAGTGCAGTATTCATTCAGTGTGTTCCAGTTTTATATGACTTGTATTAGAATCACTGCACTGAACTGTGAGTTGTTTGTACACTGAAATGTGAACTCTAGATGTGACCCCATTCAAATAAAACTTCTATGAGACATTCATGATTTTATAAGCTGTTTCATTTTCTTGGAAGTGTGATACCTACATGTTGCCTCAACAGAATGATAGGCCAGAGCCATTGTTGACGGGAGTGTCCAGGAGGGAATGGAAGCAGCAGCACAGTTTTCAGGGTTCAGTGCAGTGTGTGGTGTAAACTTTTAGGAGTAGGGGCATTTTCAAAGGTTAAAAACCTCATTGGCCATAGCCAGCATGCCCTGGAAGGCACAATGGTCATTGCAAGGAAAAGCATGATACAGTAAAAACACAACTTTGGGCATGGGATCTAGGATGTGCTACATAAAACACGAGAGACCTTGAATAAATTATTGCACAAACCTGTGCCTCAGTTCCTTTGTCTGAAAGGACATATAAAGTGTATGTCACAGTATCTGAGAGTAGCAAGTAGGCAAGTGTCATCATCTCTTTCCCTCTGCCCCACCAGCCCCCAGCCTTCTGTAGGTTTGTACCACATCCTTTGTAGTGGATTGAATTGTGTCCCCCTAAAACTCATTGAAGCTTGAATTGTGTCGCCAAGTTTTATGTATTAGAAACATAGCCCCAACTGTGACTGTTAAGAGAGTGGGAAATACTATTATGGTAATTGAAAGGTGGTGGAGCCTTGAAGAGGTGATTGGATTGTAGGACCATGCAGGATTAAAAATGGTGGCCAGGGGTGTGGTTCTAAGGGCTTTAAAAGAGGAGGAGAGTCTGTCTTTCTTTCTCTCTGCTCTCTCTGCTTCCATCATCTTGCAGTGTGAACCCCTACATCACTGTCACCACCACCATATGGACTTTGGACTTCCCAGCCTCAGAAACTGTAAGAATAAATTTCATTTTCTTTATAAATTACCCAGTGTCAGGTATTCTGTTATAGCAACACAAAACAGACTAATACAGAAAATTGCTTATAGCAGATACTTGAAAATGTGGAAACGGCTTTGGAACTGGGTGTTGAGGAGAGGTTGGAGGAGTTTGGAGGACTCAGAAGAAGACAGAGATGAGGGAAAGTTTGAAATGCCTTAGACACTGTTTACATGATGGTGATAGAAATTATCAGAATGCTGATAGAAATATGGACTGTAAAGACCCTTCTAAGGAGGTCTCAGATAGAAATCAGGAGTTTTTCGGAAACTGGGGCAAAGATCATCCTTGCTGTGAACTGGCAAGGAATTTGGTTGCATTGTTTCCATGCCCTAGGAATTTGTGGAAGTTGAAACTTAGGAGTTGTGAACCAGAGTATCTGGCGGAAGAAATTTCTAAGCAGCAAAGCATTAAGGAAGCTGCATGGCTACTTGCAACAGTCTAGGCTGAGTTATGGCGGTAAAGGCACAATGTAAAGCCAGAATTTAAAAGGGAAGCAGAGTGTAAAGATTTGGAAAATTTGCAGCCTGGCCATGTGGTGGAGAAGCAGAGAGCATGCAGTGGTGCAGCCCAGTGACCATTAGCTAAGAAATTAGTACAAAGAAAAGGGATTATCAAGAGAAGGGGGAAAAGGCCCTGAAGGCATTGCAGAAGCCTCTGGGGCAAACCTTTCCATTAAAGGCCCAGAGGCCTAGGGAGACAAAATGGTCTTGGTGAACAGGCCTGAGGCACCTTCTACAGGCTCACTGCTCAGGACCACCTCGGGAAGCTGCTTCAAGCACCAGCACCCCAGCTGCTTTGACTACTCCAGCTGTGGCTAAATTGGCCCCAGTTGTGGCTGGACGTGCAGCTTTGGAAAATATAAGCCAGAAGCCTTTGTGGCATCCATGTGGTGTTATGTCTGCAGGCTTGCAGAATGCTAGATGTGTGGAGGCTTGGGAGCCTCCACCTCAATTTCAAAGGATGTA